TCCAAAAAGAGACCAGAGAATAAAGGTCTTGAGAGCTGCTTATCATGTGTCTGCAGTCACATGAAGTCTTAAAAGAGAATTTTGTTAAGGTGATCAATTTAATACAAAACGTTTTAACATTTTCAGTTGAAGTCTGTGTTAGGGCTGACTGAAGGTTGCAAAATTATTTTAATTTGGGTGGGACAGATTTTATTTTTGAAGGCTTCCTTTTAAAAGCAGTTGTTTTGCATAGTGGGAGGAGATAAAAATAGTTATTTAGAACCTTGTTTTAGCAGAGTTCTTAAGTACAGCTTAAAAGGAAGCAGTTTATTACTTGGGCCATAAGTTGTTTAGTGGTAAACAAAAGATAATTTCAATAGTAAAATCAGGGTACGAGTAGAAAAAAGATTTATTGTGAGTGATAACATGCAGATTTTCCACAACTCTACTCTGCTGCCAGTATTGCTTAATACTTGAGGGGTTTTTATGATGAGATATAGTAAAATTTATTCAGCAACTACTGAAATGATGTTTAACTGAGGCTTCCTTTTGGTGAAGAAGTAGATTTAATAACTACTTCTAATTATATTAAGGGTAAATGGAAAGTAAGACACAATAGATAAATGCATTCAGCATCTATATAAAGCTCAGAATATACAGGGATAAAATTAGTATTGCAAAGGGAATTCAAATGTGCATCAACTCATCAGTAACAACCAAGCTGAAAATTAGAAGCATCTTCCAGTGAAAGCTTTGGGGCATCTTGCTAAAATAAATAGTAGGAAAAATTATTCAGAGGCTTCAAACAGAGCTACTACATTCATGAAAAGGATTTTAGAATGTGATTGAAAATGAAAATACTCTGACCCAGGATAGTTTTGGCTGTTCTTTTACAACTGTTTATTTTTGGTTTGAGCTTTAATGTTTTAGCCCTGCAGCATCAGTCAGTTGATGTTTCCTGGAGGGGCACACGTGCCTGCAGGAAGGAGAACATGGAGCTGTGTCCTTCCCTTCGTGTCCCAAGCACAGCATCTCTGTGGCAGCCCAGGGGTTTCCCACTGTCACTTGGAGCACACATTTGGGTTGTTAAAAGTACAAGTGCCCAGTGAAATGAGCACTACAGAGCTCCATGGCTGTGGTGGCCCAGCCTCCCCCAGGGGCTGAGGGGGCTGTGCCAAGAAGGGGCTGCCCAGGATCCCCCCCAGAGCCCCGTGCCTGGGTCAGTGTTGGATGGGGGTGCTGAAAGGGGCTGGGGGCTGACACCCCCCGTCCTTCACTCCCCCTCCTCCATCACTGATCCATGGTGTGGTCCCTCAGCCTCCGTGCCCAGGGCTGGGTTTGGCTGTGGGGCTGTTCCCATGGGTACCTGTCTCATCCATGGCATCCTCAGATGTGGGTTGGATCCTGGTCCCAGCAAGGCCCCTCTGGAGCTGAATGGAAGCTCCACAGACACAGGCTTTCACACATGGAGTCATGGAATGGTTTAGGTTGGAAGGTTCCTTAAAGATCATCCAGTTCCAAGCCCCTGCCATGGGCAGGGACACCTTCACTAGGCATAGTTCAGTCTCGGGTGGGAGAGTGAATATGGGGGGGGGTTTTAGCCAGCAGTGGATACTTTTCCTATAAAAATAATGTGTCTGATCCCTCAGGTGACAAGTTGCTGATACAAACAGCAAGGTGGGCAGCTTTGTGTCATGTGTGTGTCCCCAGCACTACAAAGTCAACTCAGCAAGACACTTGATGCCACTTTGTGAAAAGACCCAGACATAAAATGCCCAAATTATTATTCTGCAGAACGTTTGATCCCACAGAAGCTCTGCTACACCAGAGTGTTTGGTATCCTTGAGGTGATGTGTTTATTCCTTGCAGTAATGCACAGAATGGGAATCTGAGCAGAGAAGAGTGGGTGTTGGGAACTGACAGTCCTCTGGCTGTGCAGGTCACTGATGTGGCAGGTTATTAATGTTGGGAGGACTTGGTACAACTGGACATTTATTGTGACAGCCTGTCCCTGCTGAAGCCCTCGGGAGTTCTTCCCAGGCGTTGCAGTGGGATCAGAGTCTTTGTATTTAATACTTTCAGGTTGCAGATTTGTCAGGATAATGACTTGGGCATTTTCTGTCTGGGTCTTTTCACACAGTGCCATCAAGTCACACGCTGTACAAGTGTCTTGCTGGGCTGACTTTGTAGTGCTGGGAGGACTCAGCCCAGTGCCCCCAGCTCTGCCCTACTTACTGCATTTGTCTGGGAAAGGAAAGCCTTTCTCTAAGTTAAAAGCAAAGGCTAAATAGCCTGTGCAGTCACTAACTTTCCCCTTTGTAGTATTCAATCAATTGTAAAACATTTGAATTCATTCTGCTGAGATACAAACGTGGGCAGACTTCATCCCACACTTACTCATCAGCCTTTTGTTTCAGGGCAGAGCTGAGGGAGATGAGGAACTAAAGTTACATTGGCTGAACCAGTGTTTAACAGAAATTATGCAAGTTACTCTGTTATCTTGACTAAAAGTGCGAGAGCTCAGATGAGTTTAGAGCCAGCTAGTTGTTTTCTCAGTTATCTGGACACATCAAAACAAGAACTAGAACCAAACTGAAAGCTTGTACCAAACACAGGAACAGTGCCATGCACTGTAAAAGCTTCACGACTGTCATCCTCTCCTCCTGGATCTGGATTGATTATCAGCCAGAGAGCACCTTCCTGAATACCTGTGTAACTCATTCCTCACTTTCCATTCAGCCTGTGCCCTGCACTGCCAGACACCTGCAGAAACTGGAATTAAAACCAGAAGAATGGGACCAAGCTGACAAGCCTGTATATTCTCTTCCTCATACACCAGTGGTGATTGAGCTACTTGACCTTGCAGTAGGTTGGAAAGCTGTTTTATGGGACTTTTTATGGAATGGTGTAATTTTCTTAGTAGGAATTTGTAATTTATGTGATGTATTTATGGTTGTGGAAGGGCTTGGGCTGTGATGTGCAAGTTCAGAACACACAAGCAGCTTTGAAAATTGTACTTTTTCAGTGCTCTGTGTTTGGTATCTGCTAAAAATGAGGCAGAATTTACATCACAATAAAGCTTCTCTGGAAGGAAAGATACCTTTAGGCTGTTCAATAGAAAACCCACTTGTCTAAATCTGTATTTCTCTGAATTATCTTAATTTGGGGAAAAGATAATTCAACTTACAAAGTTAACAGATACCCTGTAATCATGTCAATGCCTCACAGTGCTGCATATCTGTGTTTTAAGGTGTGGATGCTTCAAATCAGCCTTCATTGTGGCATGGGGACATTTTACTCAGGTGCCTGATCCCTGCCATGAGCCCACGTGAGTTGGAGTCACAGCTCCCAGTGAAGGTTTTGTGACCTATAGCAACCAAGATACTTGGGAATTGCCACATCAGAGCAGATTCTGTGGGGCTCCTCTGCTGTGTGGGGCAGCACCACATCAAGTGTACATTGAGATGTGGTTTTCTGAAATGAATCCTGCTGAAGTACCTGTCGATGCCACATCCAAGCACTGCAGGCCAGTTATGTGGGGGAACAGAGAATAGTGGGGCCTTTGCCTCCTTCCAAGTTGTGGTTTCCTACTGCACTGCCATAGCACCGACACAGGGCAGAGGAGGTGATGAACATGTGACTCTGGGCCTGTGGCTGCTGTGACAATTCTACAAATTCTCATCAATTTGACTTTTGTGGGGATGGTTAAGCTGAATGGGTAACCCAAAGTGCACCTCTGCTAGATGGAATGGTTTGGGTGGGAAGGGACCTTAAAGCCCATCCAGTCCCACCCCCTGCCATGGGCAGGGACACCTTCCACTAGCCCAGGTTGCTCCAAGCCCCATCCAACCTGACCTGGGACACTTCCAGGGCTGGGGCAGCCACAGTTTCTCTGGGCAACCTTCAAGTCCTGGAGGGCCACAATTAGGTCACCCTAATTCATTTGCAAATCAGTTTGGACCAAAGACCATCATCAGAACTCCTTCCTCACCCATTTTTTGTTGCTGTTTTGCAGCATCTTGGACAGTTCCTGCTTCCCTTAGCCTGGGGAGCTGCAGAGGTGCTGCTGTGTGAGGAGCACGTGGCTGCCCACCTGCTCTCCCCCAGCCTGGAAATGTTACAACTGGCCATGGAACAGCTCTGAACTGATCACTTGACCATGGCAAATGAGCTGCCCTCATCAGTGTGTTCTGGTATATATTTAACTTAATAATGTGAGCAGATGGTCATTATATTGATTCATGAAGGAAGGGAGGAAGCTTGGCTGGCTGGGAACGGCCGGAGCGCGGAGCATCGGAGCGGGGCAGGATGCAGGGAAGGGGAGGAAAACAGCACATTCTTGTACTGTGTGGGGTTTGGTTGGTTGTTTTTCTCGGGGTTTTTTTGTCTGTTTTGTTTTTTACAAAGAACTGCTGTGGACAGGGATAAAATCAAAGCATTTTTAGGTGACTCATCTGGCCTGTCTGTGTGGTCATCTCCCAGGAGACTGGGGCTGTCAGTGCACAAGCAGGATGATGCTGAAGCATTTGCACCACTGATGGTGCTAAAAAGGGGAGAAATGGGGAGGCAGTAGCTTGTGGAGTTGTGAAACTCCTCACTCTGCTGTTGCTATTCAAGATGACAGCTCTTTTGCAGGGAAAATGTAATATTTAAGTAATTGTTCTTCAGTAAATTTTTTGCAAAGGGCAATTTTGTTCAAATCTCTCCCCATTTAATGGGGTATAACTGGAGATTTAAACTAGAGGCTAATTCCATAAAATTTTCAGCCACTCTTTGTTAGCTAAACTGGGAAGTTCACAAATCCCCAGCCTGGATCAGCTCACAGGAACAGCTTGGTTTGGTTATTAATTTTGCAATTTTCACATGAGAAATGCTGTGTACACAACAAGCAGGAGCCTAATCTCGTGCTTGGGTCCCTGCTTCTCCTAGCTGCTGATTAGCTTTGCTGTCTTATCAGTTTATGTCATAGTATGTGACTATAAATTGACTTTGCAGGGAAGAGGGAATACGTTTGTCTTCACAGATGCTGCTGTTTCCATGGAGATAAAAGGACCAATGGCCTTTTCTTGGTTTGGACTGTACTACAGTGAGCAGGCAGAGATGGTGCATTCGAAAATGCAACATTTGGTGCTTTGATATTTCAGGCTAAATATCAAATGAGAAAGCATATTGTTTTTTCTCGGTGATGAAGTTGAATAATAAATACAGCTTTGGGACTTTTTCGGGAAGCAGAAAGCAAGCCCACCAGGAATGTGAGAACAGCGTGGCTGGTTTGTGCTTGCTAAACCTCCTCTCTGGGAAAAACCTTTTGGCTTTGCAAAATATAACCCTGTAGAGCCTTTGGGTTTATCTGATGCAGTGTTTGATGCTGGTTACATCACCAGTTACTTCTCCGTGATGTTCCGCCGTGGCTGATCCTCAATGAACCTGCAAAAGCTGTCAATGTGATTCTTTTTTTCTTTTTTCCTTTTTTTTTTTTTTGTCCCTTAAGAAAGAGCTTTTCTACCTCAGGTTGCGTGAAAGAAAATCTAAATCCCAAATCCACCCCCCATCCAAGGATGGCTTGCAGAAGGTGTTATTTGTGAGTACCTTTTCCTTCTTCATCTGTCGTCACGTCTCTGATATCTGTGTTGAGGATTCCAGAAGTGGGAGTAGTGATCAGTTTATTGTTTGGTAGGTTTCTTTCCACGAACCATTTTTAGGGTGTTACCTTTTTTGGCAGATGAATGAGCTGTATATTAGAAATGTTTAGATGATGGTTGTGTTTGTGCATATGGGTAGTTAAAAATATAACGTAATAAAGTGAGTGAACTGTGTTTAGCAGTGAAAAAAAAAATGAGAAAACCCCCCACTTTGCATCCAAGAAGCAATGCAGGATGCCAGGAATTCTGTCTACGATGAGTCAAGGGTCTCTCTTCCATTTTGTTTGAATGCTTTGTCATATTAAAGTGTAAGCTGTCCTTTAAATACAGAAGTACTAATAGTAGGATATGCAATACAGTTTTAAGCAATATAGTATTGATGAGGCTAAATACTGCTGCGTTTTTGTTGTTTTATATATGCTTGATCAAAACCTAAAGGTACAATAATTGCTTATTATTATTATTTATTTGAGCAGTTTCTCAAGGATTCCAGTCGGCAGGAGTTAAATATTCCCTGGGTCTGATGCTGTGCAGCAGCTCCTGCCTGAGCTGTCACGTTTGCACAGGGCTCAGAGCTCAGCCACGTCCTGTTTGTGGTGGCACTGCCGGGGTTTGGATGGAAACCACACAGGTGGTTCACTCAAAAAATGGGAATAAACCGAGCAGGACGTGCCGTGAACTTGTCCTCTCCCAGCTCCCTCCCAATCCAGGAGCTTGGAATGGCTGTACCTGCTGTTTGCATTCCTGAACCCCAGTGAAAGATCTGCTTAAATTAAATTAAAGTAGCTGCAATTGGCATCTGTAGCTTTTGCAGTTATTTTAATAGTGTGTCTGAGGGTCCTGATTTGAGTGAATCTGCTCCATGTTCAGCAGGACCATCCACACACAGGCTGAGTAAATTCAACCATTCAACTAAAATTCAAATAGAATAAAGAAAATATTGAAACCTGCCCTCAAGTTTTCTTAACCTTTTGTGTTGTGCTGAAGGGATGAGTGGTTAAGTGGAAATGCTTTAAAATCAAAATGAATGTGGGACTGTCCATAGGAAGTTGAAATAAGGAAAGTAAACTTGGTAAACAGGTTGCAGCCTTCCAGGTATACATGGATCAGCTGTAAATAGCTGTTATCACCTGGGAGAATAGTTCTGTTTGTGTGAGACTCCATTTTAATTTGGGTTCTGGGATTTGGGGATTCTGTAACTCTCAGCAGGGGATGGAATTTCATATAGTGTTTATCATGTGGTGTGAAGGGATATTTAATCCCTGGGTATTGCTTTCTTTAACAAGGAGGTTGAAATTTTATTTATAGAACCATCCTGTGCAGTATTTTCCTCTTTTACTGCTTACACATGTGGTATCTTGTACCTACCTCAGCACATTGCTGTGGAAAACAAGATGTGGGCTCTGACTTCTGTATTCTGTATTTTAACTCCTGTTTAAGAGAGTTGATGCTGATCATTGAAAAGAGGAAAATGTAAGCGAGGAGGTTTTTTACAAACTAACTCTTAAGGACATACATACGTAGAAAATCTTCATGTTCTCTAAAACTAATGTGTGCTGAGCACTGAAAATGTATGTTAAACAGTTAAATACACCAGTTCTTCCATGCACAAGTCTGTTTTGAGATGAAAACTTAAATATATCTGCCAATGTTCTTGTGATATATATGCTAAAGCCTTTTGCAAAGAGTCTCCTTTTTAAGATAAAAATCTCTTTTTACATCGTAAAACATAAAAGGCTGGATTGTTGCTGTTCTAAAAAAAGCTGAACAACAATGTCACCCCAGTGGGATCAGTGAAGGGGTTTTTTCAGCTGCTGCCCTGAATGGAACATATGTCCCTGAACCTTTGTTTTGAGTCCCAGGGTTTGCCTTGCTGTAAATCCCTCACGCTGGCTCTGGGCAGTTCAGTCTTTGTGCTTGGCTACTTTTCCTCTTTCATCAGCTGCAAACCCAACCTGTACCACTGACACTCCTCAGCTCTGGGGTCACTCTGGGTGCTGCTGGGGGAGATTAGAAATGTGTTCTGGTTTGTAATGGGAGTTGTAGTTCCTTGAGAAATTCTGGGACCTAATTCAGTGGCGTGGGGAATACAGAAAAGATGGTTCTGATTTAATCTCAAAGATCTTTTCCTTCTATCACAAGCAGCTTCATATCTCTTTGCTCTTAATTTCTGCTTTTGGACTGTCTGTGGGTTTTTTCTACACATTTTGAAAGTGCCCAGTGAGCACAACTGATACAAGTGCATCTTGTGTCCTGTTAATTACTGTACATCACCCTTCATCAGAGAGGGGTTTGTAATAAGCTTAATCAAAAGGGAAAGAAATGTTTTTAATTATAAGCATCTACATATGAACAGTCTTAATTAAATTCACCCTTGTTACAGCTAAGCCAGAATGAGGATCTCTACAAAGTGTGCAAGGATGCAAAAGGATCCCCTCTTGCCTGTTTGTGTAGGCTATTATTGCGTTCTGATGAAACCAAAAAAACTTCATAATAATTATTTCTAATTATCTCTAATGTTAATGAGCATTGTGTTCCAGGATGGGACAAAATAACAGCTGTTCCTTGGTTAGCATTCTGTGACTGCACTGGTTTCATTCTCCCAAGAGATGATAATTATTTTCAGGCCCTTTTGATGGTGGAGAGGTCAGTGAGAGTGTGTCTAATGATTCTATTGAAAAATCCAGCTGTGGGCACTCGAGTTGGGATTGCACAAAGAGGAGTATTATTCAAAACAAGAACTCTCAGTTTGCCTTTATACTGCAACATGTACAAATGATGATATATAATCATTTTGATGACAAGCAAATTTTGTGTATTCTGGGGCAAAATTCAGTGGTCTGTGCTCCAGCCTATGTGTGCTGATCATTTAGAACTGCGGGTTTTTTTGAGCATCCTTGGTATCTAATGAAAATATCTTTCATTTCTATTTAGAAAAAATTGTGTTCTGTAATGCTTTAAACTAGATTATAACCATTGCATGGAAGGGGAGACAGAAATGGAGGGAGGGAGCTGCCACCACAGCAGGTCTCCAACACATGGTTGTGCTGTTTTATGATCTCTGGGGATTGTCTTGACTCTCAGACTGCAGTGCAAGGGAATGACATTGGTTTTTACTTGCCCCGAGTTGCTTCATTGCCTTCCTGTCATTTGATGTCCAAGCAGCTTTGTGCAAAGAGCCATCTTGTGTGAAGGAAACCAGAGGAATAAAGGTGGGAGTTGGAGTCTCCCACAGTGTGTGTTACAGGAACTGTAAGGTTTTTGCATGTGCAACCATAAAAGCAAGAAGGGCATTTATTTTACACAGTTGCTGTTCAAAAAAGCACGTTGGGAAATTCCTGTAACTAATAAGAACACTATGAAAAAACATGGTATTTGCTCTGTGCCACCACAGCCTTTCTTTGCCATATTTGGCTGCGGGACGTGAAGGGGAAGGAACAGGAGAAAAGGGAAGGGTTTTCAGTGCTCCTTCAAAAGCCCAAATCATCCTGCCCTGTGTGTTTGGGGTGAAGGTCTGAGGAGTCAAAGATCTTTGGTGTCAGAACAGTAGGAATTTGTCCTTGCAAATGTGAATGGGCCCTGTGCTAAATCCCCTAGTGGAGGACGTGTCCAAGGGCAGCCACAGTCCCTCCTGGGCTGGGAGGACACGACAGGAGTTGCCAGTCAGAACTTTCAGCTGTTTTCTCTCCCTTCCAAAAAGCAAGTTGTCCTGTGGGCTCAGTGTGTTGATTCTGAAAGGCCTTCTAGCATGTTAATGACCGTGTTAATTAGCAAGCATTTAGCTGGAGTCAATGTGAGTCTGTATTATTAGGAGTTTTTACTGTTCAGCACCTTTTTGAAGGTCTGTTTGATTATAATTCAAATTTTGTTCCTTATTAAAGAAATGGTTAGATTTATTAAACAAGAACACGATAGACTTTACTGGCTTTTAACTATAACTTTTTCTAATCTCAGCTGTAGCAATAACTCTGGATTGACATGAGAAAGAAACTTTCAACTTGTAAAATAATGTTATTCTTCATGAGGATAAAACACTGAGAAATTGAAGTGTTCCTTTGATTAGCTTGTAGGCATGAATCCAATCAAATAAGCATTCTTAGCTACCTCAGGTGACATTGCAGTGAATGGGTTTATGCAGGGGATGAACTTCTCTGCCCCTTCTTCTCTTTCCAAGCTAATTTTGGAAAGGATAGGGACAGGCATCCAGGGGCCTGAGGCTGTGCTGGTACTCCTTTTTCCATATACTCCTTGGAACATGCACCTCATGGAAAAATGTACCAAAAGAAAGGGAAGAATCCTGGCAGATGGAGGTGAACAGATTGTTATTCCAGACAAAGAGGAGGAATAATGTATGAAGTCATGTGGATGTGTAGGGAAGGGCAGCAGTGGAGATGAACAAACTGAGCAGGCTCCTGTCATCAGCCCCAGCAGACACTTTATAAGGACAACATTTCTTCCAGCTGTGCTCCTGGAGCAATGTCACCAAGGCTCTGTGAGACAGCAGCCTCAGTCCCTTCTGTTTGGGAGCTGATCGTCGTGCAGGAAAAAGTTCCATAATAATTCTGCCAACCTACTCACAGGTTTACACGTGCTTAAAATTCAACAGCAGCAAATTAAACAAGGGGTGGGTGCCCTGTCCTGTGCTAAACAGGGTGTGCTGTCCAGAGGGAAGGGGACAAGCTGCCTCCAGGCTCCCAACACTGCTCTGGGGTGCTCTCTGTGGCCGGTGGCCCAGCATCATCCTGCCAGGAGCAGGTGCCAGCTGAGAGGACATTGGGAAAGCAGAGAGTCACTGTTAAAGCCAAAGCAATTCCAGGTTAATAGCCTCGTGTTCTCTTCTCCCAGGTTGTTTAAAAACCAATATTGAGAAAATTGCCTGCCGAGTTTGGAAGCCGTGTTGGGGATTGTAAGAGGAAATAAAAAAATAACACAAACATTTGTGGCTTTATGTGATGACCAATAATGATTTTCCTTCTATTTGTACATCTGAGCAAGACTCTAGAAATGAAAGATTAAAAAGAATGGTCATTTCTGTTCACTGATGGATAGGGAAGTGTTGTTAAAATGAGTGGTTTCTAATGCAAACATGATGGCATTCATACAGAAGTGAGAGGAACAGTCACACCTGCTCTGGGTCTGGGAGCTTCCTTAGGAGCTGCATTTTTCCAGTTACATTGGCATCCTGAGGGGGATGTGAGTCAGGGTTTTGGGTTAGATTTGGTTCAGGTTTTCCTGTTCTAGTCTGTTCTCACAAGAACTTTCTTTAAGAATGGACAAATGGTTGCCTGTCTGGGCCTGGAAGTGGGAAGTCCCTTCCATGTGCACTGGGATGTTGCAGTAATGGTTCAGAAACTGATATTGCCAGAAGAACCATTCATCTTTTCAGTCATTTGTCTTGTGGTGGTGCTGAAGTACCTGTGCTGTATTTATAATCCTAAATCTTTTGAAGAACATCCACTAGAGATGCAGAAACTGAACTTAATAGGGCCGAATTATCTATGAGACTGTGAACAGAAGTGATTAATTCTCCTCCAAAATACTGAAATATATTTCTTCTGATGTCTTTAGGTGTTAAAAATTAGGAAATCAATTCTAGTTTGAATGCAAACTTCTGTAGAAGGCTGATTGCAAAATCTAGCTATAAAGTTTAAAAAAGAATTAAAAAATAAACCCAAGCAACCAAAACAAACAAACAAAAACTCATTGGAATATTGAACTTTTTCTGGTAGGTTCCAGAGCTGTAAATGAATGCAAGGACTGCGTTAGCAGGTGATTGAAGGCACAAAATGCCACATTTGAGGCTTAAGCTGCACCAGCAGATTTACCCAAATGCTTTGATGAAATTAGCATTAGTCAGAGGCTGTAAAGTCTGGGCCTTGTTGTTTGTCAGGCTGACAGGACATCAGTCAGTGAGATTTAGAGGAGCCCAAACACTGAGTCAATATATCCCTTGAATTTTAAAATTCAGAGCAGAGTCCAGCCCTCATGTTTGCTTCTCTAACTGGTTGGACAAAGAGCCTGTCTTTGAAAAGCCTAAGAACCACCTGAAATCCAGGCTGATGTGTTGAACGCACGCCTTTGGCACCCGAGATGCTCCTGGTGGAGCACAGCAGTGACACGTGGTACCTTGATCCCAGCCTGCAGCTGCACCTTGCCGTCTGTTCCACCTCCTCCACCCCTGCCCTGGCACTTGGCACTACCAGGGGCAGTGTGTTTGCCACCTGACAAACCTCTGGCACTTCTCATTTGCTGTCAAGGTGACGGGACTCTTGCGTTTCTGCTGCACCTTCGAACAGAAACTCAGAGCAGTTGAGCTCCTAATCCCAGTCCTGTGCAATGGGTGAGTACAAATCTTGCCTGAGACGACAGGGAGAGCTTCCCTCTTTATTGTTCAGGGCTTTTTGGAACCTAGGAAAGTGAGAGTAGGACAGATTTATGGAGCCTTGTGGGCAGATTCTTTTTGGAAGAGCCGGGAGCGAGCTCTGTTCAAAAAGCTTTGTTGAGCAGAACTGAATCCAGAGAGATTCTTTCATATGTTCACTGGTTTATTCTCTGAAGAAAGAGAGAGATTTGTATGGAAAAAAAGAGTGGTGGGAAGGAAATCTGGGACACTTTCCTACTAATTTCCTACTTTTGCTTCTACTGGAAAATGCGGAGCCACAAAGCAGCGACTTTGCCGGTGTGAACAGTTTCCCTGCCCAGTGTGAGACTCGTGCTCTGCCCATTCCCAGTGTTCTCCCTTGGCTCTGTGGATTCCATGGAGCAGCTTCTGTGGATACTGTGTGATTTTTTTTTCCTGTCAGAAAATCCAGCTTTTGCGTGTTCTGGCTGCTTTTCTCATCGTCCATCAATGCTTTCAGTAACATTCTCCATCTTTCTTTTGAGTTCTTCTGGTCATTTTTCCCACTGGTTTGAAGGTGCCACCATTAGTAGTTGTATGTCCCATAATGGGAAGGTGTCCCGTGACTGAATTGTGTTGCCATTTCCAAAAGCCACTTTACAGGAGTACATTTCCCAGGTACTTTACAGGAGTTACCAGCAGTTGCTGTCTTTAAACAGAAAATCCAACTCGTCCTGGCCATGTGGTTGCTGACACACTGTTGGCAACAGAAATCAGAGCAGGCTGACCTTGTCTTTTTTTCCAAAGGATTAGTAACTGACTCCTTCCTGAACAAAGCCTGGCTTCTTTTTGCTTAACCACTCTGTTTGATCTTATAAGAAAGTGACCTCACAGGATTCACTTTAAGCCTCAGGGATGCAGAAGAATCAAAATCAATCTTCTGGAGCCTCTGTCAAGACACCAAGCAAAAGATGAGGGGGGGAAAGTGCATTTCTGTGCACATACACACATCCTCTGTTAACAGTCAGGTTGGATGCTTACAAGTTGTTAAATGAGGATTTTCAATTTAATGGCTACTTCTTCCGTAGGTCCCCACTCAAAGAGCAAGGAGATATTGATTCTTTTTTTATGATTTCCTAGAAGAATGCTGTGTCTTAAGAAATTTGATTAGGTGGATTTATCATGGAGGCCTATCTGTGCTAAACCCTTGTTTAAAGTTTCCTGGCACAAACACCAGAAATGCAGAGATGTGTGCTGTGTGTTGCTTAAAGATTTTCTGAGCTTTCCTTCAGATGCAATACCTTGTCCTGTTTTGCAACTCTTCTTTGTTTTCAATTAAACAATACAAACCTAAACGATCAGGGGGTGCAGAATATCTTTGTGTTGTAAAGCTTCTTTTTATTTTTTTTCCATGCTTTGAACAAATGACAGCAATTAAACTTGTATTGCACAGTTCAGAATATTGTTTAAAAGGGGGTGAAACTTGGATTCTTTCCCATTTTCCAGTGGTGTATTGCAATATGTTTGTAATTGCTGGGCTTGAAGAAAGCTTGTGTCCATGTCCATTGCATTCTCCCTCCTCATGTCAGAGCACTGTGTCTGTAATTCCATTGACAGAGGAACAGCTTGACTGGTGCAGAGTAAGGAAGTCTGAAGCTTCATTTCCATGGGAATTCCAACCCTCAGTGTTGGGTTTGATCCCTGTATGGGCCTTTCACTGAAGAGTTGGACATGATGATCCTTGGGGGTCCCTCCCAGCCCAGACTATCCCGTGTTTCTGGGTTTTTAGCCTTCATTCCACGTGGCGAGGCAAACCCAAAGTCTTCAATTGGCATTTGATCTTAGTCTTGCAACCAAACCCGGGCTCCTCATTGCGACAGCTCATCCCCCTCCCTTCAATGTGTGCATTTCCAACCTGGCAAACACTCCCCTGGATTTCCTGGGATTCACAATTGACAGCTGTACATCAAATTTCATTCAGCCTCACCATGAGTTTCCAATACACCTGTAAGCACCTGCCTTTTCCTCACAAGCCCCTTTCTAAACACTTGGTGGTTTGACTTTGTGTTTTTCCTTGTGTCGTAGGTCTTTAAATACTCTGCACCAGTTTTGCTGTCCAGCTCCATTGTACCATTCCCAGCTAGCTGTCCCTGCCACACACTCAGAGTACAGGTAAGAGTAGACATGGACCGCCCACTTCTGATTTTTGGAGAGAGATCTGATGTTACCATTTGACATGAGACAGGCAATAGTGGTGGAAGTTTTAAAAAAGAGAGAAAAAAATAAAGGCATACTGGAAAAATCCCCAATCCTTTTAACATCTTGTAGGGTAGTTCTGAATTGAACTCTCACTGTAGTGACTCCTTCTCCCAGGCACTCTGGAATTATACAGTAAAAGGAGTGTCATGTGCCTAAAGAGGCACATCCCCCTAGATTCAGAAAGGTAGGGAGAAGCTATTGTAGGTTTAGTTCTCACATAACAAATATATTGAAATATTTATATGTAACTTGTGTAGGATATTGGTGTTGTTCTGAGCAACACTCTTTTTTTTAAGCCCTGAATACTTCCTGCCAGAATCCGTGTATTGTGGCACTGGGAAGGTTAAAGGCATGGACCTGCACAGGGCTCAGCACTGCCCTTTCATTTGAGGGAATTAAGGGCTTTTTAAACACATACAGGCCCTTGATGCCAAGCAGAGTCTGCCCTGAATATATCAAAAATATGTTTTCCAGCTCATAATGCTTTAACACCGATGCCTTTCCTCTGTGTTCTCTTTGATCAAGTGTGGAGAGCAGCAATTACACCTCGTAGTACAATTCCTTGGCAGTGCCAGTGTTTATTTTAACATCTTACAGAAGCATCAAAGGGCAGCTAATCTAAGTAACTGGGAATGTGAAAACTGTTAAGAAATTGTGCATGCCATGAAAAACATTGTCTTTTAATTTTTACTTTTGCTATTAGTGATTAACTTACTGATAATTGCCAGCTCATGAATAATATTAATATCAAAACATTGAAAGCCTGGTGCTGAAAAATCAAATAGTTTTGCACTGGTGACAAGGAAAGACAAAAACAAACAATGAATCCTAAATCTGTAAATGCATAAACATATTTCTGGTTTGAATATTTCATCCCTTAGTTTTCTCTAACCATGCATGCTTGGATTCATCCTGGTGTTTTATGTTGCAGCATCTCTTTATGTGTGTCTGTTTTTTCCCTCCCATCAGAGCTCTTGGTTTATTTGGTGGTAGTGAATCCATAGTTGAGTTGTGAGCCAACTGAATATTCCTTTGGTGAGGAGCAGGGCCTGAACACTGTTAGATTCCCTGCTTGCTTTTGAATGAGGTTTTTCATTTTCCTCTGTCCTTAGTTTATAGTGCTTTAATTTTAAGGATCTTCCTACAAGGATGTTGATGGGAAAACCACCTGGTTTTTTCTGGAACGTCTCAATGTCTTGCTCCACATAGGTTATTATTTTTATCAGTAGTATTTCTTCTGGAATTAAAGCTTATAAAGCAGCATAACTTTGTGCTTAAAAAATCCTTCACTTCTCTAGCTTTTTTTGTCTTTCTCTCCTTGTGCAGTGAACACAGGAGTGCCCTGAGTGTGTCTGGGTGTGTAAAGCACGTGCCGTTTTTAGAGCGCCCAAAAAGGTGCCATAAGATCTTCAGCTCTTGTTTCAGGATTGAGGGGTGGGAAGGAACTCATCATTGGCCTTGTTTGCTCCCCAGGAAGTTTAGGTTCAGGGGGACCTTTTCACTCTTTACAACTCCCTGACAGGAGGGTGGACCAGGTGGAGGTCGGGCTCTGCTCCCAGGTAACAAGTGATGGGACAAGATGAACTGGGGGAGGTTTAGGTTGGATATTAGGGAAAATTTCTTCAAGGAAAGGGCTGTCCAGCCCTGGCAGAGCTGCCCAGGGCAGTGGTGGAGTCCCAAGCCCTGCAGGGATTTAAAAGCTGTGTGGATGTAGCACTTGGGGACATGGGTTAGTGGTGGCCTTGGCAGTGCTGCGGGAATGGTTGGACTTGATCTCAGAGGGCTTTTCCAACCCTGATGAATCTGTGATTCTGTGATTGCCTCCTTCTGTCACCACTTGTGAAACCTCCTGTGGAGGAGCTGGCTTTTTGAAGGACATCAGGATACTGGAGCAAGCCCAGCAAAGGCTCACCAAGGTGTCTGTGGGCAGAGTACCTACAAGGGGGGAGAGCTGAGGGAACAGGGGCTTTTCCCTGGAGAAGTCTCAGGGCTGATGCTGTAGTCAACTCCTAAATTGGGGTTGTCCTGTTGACAAGGGGGAATGGATTCAAATGGAAGGAGAGCAGGTTTAGATGGAATATTGGGAAGAAATTGTTCCCTGTGAGGGTGGGGAGGCCCTGGCATAGGTTGCCCAGAGCAGCTGTGGCTGCCCCAGCCCTGGAAGTGTCCAAGGCCAGGTTGGACGGGGCTTGGAGCAACCTGGGCTGGTGGAAGGTGTCCCTGCCCGTGGCAGGGGGTGGGACTGGATGATCTTGAAGGTCCCTTCCAACCCGAACCATTCCATGATTCTGTGAATAGGAGAATATGGAAAAGGTGTAGCCAGTCTCTTCTAGGAGAGGATGAGGCAAGAGGCAACCAAAACAGACTGCAGTAAGGAAAATTCCAGTTAGATACAAGGCAGGGAGAGAGGGGAATTTGACCCTGATCGTGGTCAAACACCGGATCAGAGGCCAGGAGAGGAAGAGGTATCTGTGTCTTCAGCGATGCTCAGTTCAGCCGGGCCCAGCAGGAGCAACTGGCTGTGGTTAGCCCTGCTCTGAGCAGGGACTGCACCACACATACCTCCAGAAGTCCCCTCTAACACAAATTATCCACCATCCTGAAGCACTCTGTTCTTGGGAAGACAAAAAAAAGAGCTGCAAGTTTATTTTCTAGGCTTTACTTTCAAATTCTACAGTGATGTCAGTGCCATCCCAGGTAGTGTCCTGCTCCCAGGTGTGGTGGTGTATTAAAGCTGGGCTGTCACATGGCAGGAATTGCTTTAGTTTACCACTAATTTAAATTTCTGAAACTGTTCTGTCCAAACTGACATCCCCACAACTGGAATCTCTGAGGCAAGTGCAAATCATGCACCTGGTTTTGTACAGGACCTGTATGTGGGGATCCTGTTGCTGTGAATGACAATGAGCTCCTAGAGCACTAACAAGATTGGGCTTTGCATTTCCACATACACTTAATAGTATTAAATTTAGCTTTTATTCTTCCCATTTATCAATTTATAAATAGAAACCATTAGAAACAAAACCAACAGACGTGGATGCTTTGGTCGAGCTTCAGTTTTGAGGTTTTATTTAGAAAATACGCAGAGGGATTAATTTTGTAGCCCAGAATTAAAAATTAAATTTGCTCTGAAAGAAGCAATTAATGAATGCACTACAGTGAAATCTGGAGCATCTCTGATTTGCTGTTAGCTAATTGCTGGATATTTTAGTCACTCCAGCAGTTTTATTTCTAGTCTAGACGATCTTTGGCATCTGTTTTGAATTGTTAACAGGGAAATAATGCATTTTTAATAACTGTAGCTATCGCAGTAATCCCTGGCCCGCTCATTTTACAGTGTTCAAAATAGAAATCATACAAGTTATCTTGCTTTCTCCTATTACAAGAAAATTCTAGGGAAGCCTGAGCATACTTCCAGCTAGATATTTGTCTGGGTTCCAGTTAGCCCATATGCCTCCTCTGCTTGCTCTTTT